CAACATTTCAAAACCACGATCTTCCACTTACAACCTATTTGTAGCATTTAAGAGACGTATATTTCCTGCGAAATATATCGGTACTACTTCTGTATTACCTGCATGCTGCCTGCATATTACCTATATACATCTATATAGTTATGTATGTGTGTTTTTTCTTTTCCATCTAAATACAACCAACAGCGTATCTATGCACTACTCATATAATCCGACATTATATATTACCCATTGCATGCCTGTATGCAACCTATAATAGCGTACCTGTATATTACCATATACTACCTTGATAAGCTGCCGCAACCCCCTCCATCCCCCCTACCCCCCCCACACCGCACGGGAGGGAGCAACCACCTACACTGCCTGGATACCTCATACTAATGATAAACACGTACATGTATGTGTGATGTATATGTATGTATAGTATGTACATATTCTATATATTTGCTACCTATAATTCTATATATACTCGACATATTCACTACCTATACACTGCCTATATATTATATACTACCTATACAACACGGTTACAAATAGATAGACACTACCTATGTACTACTACATACTGTACATACTACCATATAGAACCTATGTACCGCTTGTTTGGATGCACCAGCTATTATAATTTTCCCATACAGCATATGCAACCCCCTTCCCACCCCAACCCACACCACAGGGATGGGATACCATGAACACACTGCACACACAACCACCTCCCACCCCGGGGGGACCAAAAACCTGGAACATATATGTTTGGATATGTTTGGATAATTTATGAAATATATATTGAATTATATTGAATTGAATATGTGTTTTCTTTTTTTGATTTAGTAATTTCTTAGACATTTCTCCTGAGTCTAGGTGATATATATATATATATGATTCAGAAAGAAATTACCATCATGATATTTGTAGCTCAATTCGTATCTTGAGGCCAGTACGTCGATGACCTTCAACTCCTTCTCCCGGCGTTCCAAAGATTCTTGTTGCAAGCGCCGTATCTGTGTGACGAAGTCTTGGTTGAGATCAATATTGTAATAACGCCATTCTGAGGTTTCAGATCACGGGAGTGTGAGTGGTCAAGCAAATTCAACTACAGTTTGAAACATCCACGCGGTATTTCCAAAGAAAAGCCGCTAAAAGGCAGCACGTGCTAGAAGACATCGAAAGTAGTCTTGATTATTGTTGGACAATGTCTCTTTGGATCTACCTTGGGACTTTCAGTGACAAATAGGCTGTTGATATGAAGCTGGATGAAACCCCGATGGCCTGCCACTTCTCATAGAGTGACCTGATCAGCTAGGTGAACAATTGTAAGTGCCATCAGAAGCAAATAGGCAATCTGTCCACCCCAAGATGCTGCAACAGAAATGATTAGCTGCACCGCAAATACAAAATGCACTGATGCAAAGCCGAATCAACCAATCGCCCACGTCAGTGCTACCAAAGACTCGGCCCAAGTTAGGATTTACTTCAATCCAAAACGGCTTTGAAGTTGGTGAAACTTTAAAATGCTGATTCTCTGGACATCCTTGTTTTCATCGTAGACGCGCGTTGCCGCTTCTGAGTCACTGAGGGCAAAACATGATATGAGCCTTGCGGCGCCGGTACTTCCGCCAGTCCTGGAAAATCCAGTCAGGAGAACTTCAGCTTCCTTCGCCGAACAACATCGACTGCACATCACAATTTGATGGCTGCTTTCCATTATGTCAAAAAGTTATTCGACGCTGCTGCTTGGAGTTTTCTTCTCCCAAGCACCGACTATAATATATATAATAATATATATATAATAATAATAATAATATAAATATATTATATAATAAATATAATATTATATATATATTTATAATTATATTATATATACAGTATATTTATATATAATCATATTATATATATACACACGTAATATGCATAAAGTAATAGTTCTTTGGATTCTTATGGACGTTCAAGCACATAGGATCACGTAGGCAGTATTTGCATAGCTTTCTTTCCAAACTATCGGGTCCTTCTCGCAGTACAAGTGTCGATATTCTTGGCAAACGAGGTGGCAGCAGGTGTGAAGAATATGGACATACACCAATGCACGTGGACTCAAACTCAATGGTGTGCAGCGCAACTTTCTTGGGCAATCTTACACATAGATTCCTCCAGTGGCTCGTACAGAAATGCAAGCTGCATAGTGAGTTCCGTGCGTGGATCCAAGATCCACAAATCCCTCTCTCAATGCAGGATAGACAAATTCACCAATCATCTAGGCCACGGGAATCTGCCACCATTGTCGGCTGCAAGATGTTCACATTGACAGACTTGGGCATACTGAGTTTCTCACGCAATGGAGTCGAAAGCCCCGTGTTGTACTGAGCAACCAGTGATGGAATAGGAGGTCGTTTGAAATTACTTGCAAACTGACTTCTTTATGGAACCATCGGAGCGAACATCTTTATCAGGGGCCCAAACTCAGTGGTGCCAAGCGACTGAAATGCAATTGCTGAGATTCTTTGGAGCCCTGCCTCAAAGAGCCGAACCCAGTCAATGGTGCCAGCTTCCTTGGAAAGATGTTTCTCCTGCGGCTGCTCCACAATCGGTCAGCCAAACACTCCATCTTGAATCTTTGTATCCCAGTGTTGCCCGGCGACCTGCCGGAAGAGTTGATCCCAACAATTCTCCTCCAAGTATTTCTTAAAGTATGACAGGGCGTAGGTGTCACCCTGGCGGGGAGTATCACGGCAGCAACATGTCACTGCACATTCTTAGTCAAGATTAATTACTTTTTTAAATGGGTATTGCAAATTTTCTGAGATTCCAAATTGTCCCACCTGCACATGACCCAGCATGAAGTTGCTTCGAATCTGCAGCGCTGCAAAACAAGGCAATGCGCCAAGCTTTTCCGCTCAAAATGCATCAAGTCACATCCAAGCACTAGGACCATGATTTGATGCGATGTCTTCATGATAACTTTGGAAATGTGAAGCACCAAAAGAGACTTCCTACCATTTTTTTGACAAGAAAGGTTGAGTACTTGCCTTCAACCAGCCCACAAGATGGAGATTGAAGGCAGCAGTGAAGACCTCGGAAGAAACCGTCAATCAAAACATTAGAATATACTATTGTGATCTAATGACATGCTTGATAATACAGTAAACAATTAAACATCATTAACATGTCAAATGTATGTTATATATTGTTATATCATGTATTATACACGGGATTACGGTGCATCATTGTGATACATTGTGCAATTAGACCCACAACGAGCTCAACGTCGGCCGAAGGCACCTCTTTTTCGGCTAGATAGCCCTTGTCATGAAACATGCCCTTGACCTGGCAACTCGCAAACAGATTTCTGGGGCCATGCTGCAGCCTATCAAACAAGAACAAGGTAAGACTAGGTAAGAAAATGTAAGAAACATAAAGTAAGAAACATAAAGATCCGGATGCGCATAAAGTTTTGGCCAAAACAAGCACTTGTCAAATCCCAAAATCACAGATTGAAGGGCCCTACCAGTGTCTTAAGCGGGCCTCGAATTGAAATTTGCTCTTCAGTTGGTGGAAATTGTCTTCGTTGTAGTCGGATGAGTTTCGACTTGCCTCAACATATGGCTTTGTCATCACTCTGCAAGGACACAACTACAATATTATCACGCTCAAAAGATCTCCAAAGACTATACTCATGCTGCTTGTCGCGTCTTACACAGAGTTTTTTCAATACTGACTAACTGATGCATTTCTATGCATTTCTTATATTTCTTATAGCCTACAGTAGAGTTCCAAGACTCAAGCTAATTACATCGTCGAATTACATGATATAAGTCTGCGCAGTGCACCTTGACGACAGGTGGAGGAACTGGTGGTCTGTATTTCTTCTGCGTTGGAGGAGTTCTGCCTGGCAGCGAAAGCTGAATCAAATCTCGTGCAATCTCCAGCAGAATCCCCAGAAATTCTTCCATCGAAGGTCCACAGAACATGGCAGCAGCTCGATTGTCAGGATCGTACGGCTTGTCAAATTGCGGGTAACCATTCCTAAGCATAGCGGCATAGCGAAGTTCAGTCATCGTTAGTGCTCGGGAGGAACCACACTGAAGCACAGTTTCTCAGCGGGGTGGCATCCAACAAATTTGTAGGCGGCCACTTGGGCCACTTGTTGCTACTTTGGAGTTGGGGTATCCTTCATCCGTCACGATGCCAAGTCAAAGGCAAGCCGTTACATACCGTCACAAGCTGCCACAATCAATGATCACAAATTAGATAAATATGATATAATTGGACTCGGACTATATTGGATTAATTATCATGGATTATCCCCATGTCCTGCACCCAAGGCTGTCGCAGAATCAAAGGGTGGTGCTTTCGCCTGACCAGTAGCATCCAGTAGAATCGGGTCTCTTCTTGCGAGATGACCACACTCTGAACCCTGTTGGCGCAAAAAGAAACACACACCTAGAACAAGCGACCTGTGCATCAATAATTTTGGCCATGACAGCATTTTGTGGACAGTTGAATATCCATGAATATCCACACTTCGACAGTTGTGATCGTGGCAACCATCACATCATATCACATCGATAAGGACAGCTGGGGCAATGAAACTCACAGGGCAACCATTTCCCGTGTCCCACGGATTCCCACGGATTCCCACGGATTCCCACGGATTCCCACGGAACATCCAAGCCGACCTGGTCAACAAGCCGTAGTTTGGCTTCCAGTCAGTGTTTGGCTTCCGAGTTTGACCCAAAAGCCTGGCTTTGGCGCACGGTTTTATCATGTTTTATCACTTCTCCTTGCCAGTCTCTTCATATTTTTTCTCCAAAAACTGAATTGGCAGAAGAGTTCGATTCTGAGTTGCAAAAAAACTCCTAGTGATTAATCAGTCTGATACACAATGGAGACCCTACGCTATCAAGTCTTGGACCCTATGTCCCTCCTATCTGTCAGCTGGCAAAAACAAAGCACCTAGAAGAACTGAGCTCATTTGAATGGCACGTGTCACGAGGGTCAATATCAACTTGCAAAAAAAACGTTCATTACAAGACTGTCCATCTCTGGAATAATTCAGACTGGCCTCTTGAAGCGTCCAAGCTTTTGCATCTGCACCATGGCTGAAGTATTGGAAGAACCGGTGGCTTAGCCACCGGTGCAATCTCAGGTCACGATATATAAGCCTTATAAGCTTTGTCACCGCTCAGACTGTTCTTGGGTACAGCTCTTCATTTGCAACACCATTTCTGGAAAGCATGCAACCTCAAAAAGATGTTGAAATTAAAGTATGGAAAAGAGCCATGGCTTTGACAATGTCTGGTTGCCTTTTGTTCTCTTTAGAATGAACACTATTCTGCGATATTGGTGCATATATTTAAAATTATTTAAACATTGACATCTCCATGGTTGCCGGAATGCATTAGGGCCACCAACGTCACACCCGAAGTCTCACACCCGGCGAGCCATTTCTCTTCTTTGGCAATGATACGCTGCGGTATTGCATCTCTGTGTGGCCGCATCGACACAAGGACCAAGGAAGTGTTTGCGACACACACTCGCATGTTCTTCGCTGCACATGTGGAAACCATAGGGCCATAGGGGTAAAACCGCAGAAAGCGGATGAATGCGGATGATGCACCCAAACTCGCCAATGTGATTTTGCAGTCCAGCTTGCTGTCAACTCCAAGCTCCAAATTGATGGCTGACAGATTTAATATAACTTCTTTAGATGTATCAGTGTATCATATATGATCATATATGTATCATCCCCCAGCTATGAATATTACTGAATCGCCTCTGGGAAGTCTACCTGCAAACTTTACGGAGGCTGAGTCTGACACTTCAATGATAATTCGATGTGGCAGGTGGCAGGTCACAACATCGACTGCTTGTGGAGGCGTCGGAGGCAACGAGACAAGGCGAAACGTGCCTGTGCCGACTTTGCTGACTGTGTCGACTGTGCCGATGCCGCATGCCCACTCTGTGGAGATTCACGGCAACACGAACGCAAGATTATGAACAGCATGAACATGTCGACGATCCATCTCATATATCTGCAACTGCAACTACACGCAGAAAGTAACAACGGCCTGAGAGAGGGATAGTGTTTTTTCCGATTGGAGTCGCTTGCTGAGACGTGTCACATCGTCACCTCTCTGGCTTGCAGGATCTGTAGGTGCAATCAGCAGGGTCATGTATATAGGCGTGGCGATTAGTGCGACAGAAGCTTCATTGTGTAGCCTTCCCCGCATCACGGTGAACCTGCAGTAATGGTGAGACAAAGCTGTACAAATTGGAGGCCGAAGGATGGAAAAAAGAAAAGCATTAAACAAAACAAACTTGTGAGGTTGATGCCAAAAAGCAGCTCCCTCCTCGTGCAAGTCAACATGCTGTTTCTGTCATTTGAAGCTCTTTTACATCCGCCGGACTCCGTGACATCTTAAAAAGTCTCCGGGAAAAGGAAGACCTCCTCAACCTCCCCTGGACTTCTGCCAGGCCACACTGGCTATCACTGGCTCATGAAGATCTACTTGGAAAATGCCGCATTTCATCAGCGGCGCATTGCCTAACTCAATACTATTTTAAACTCCACTCTTTCTGATCTTAAGTACCAGATATTACCAAACAGTAATATCACTTTCAGCTTGCAAACATATACAAGAACAACAAAATCAAGTCAGCTTCATCAGCATGTTGTTTGTTAGTTTCTCCTAAGTGCCGTACCTTCCATGAATTAATCATGAATCGACGGGTTTGGCTCAGGACACTTTTGCCAACTCCTTTTGAGATTGGGCATCTCGCACGCGAATATGAGCTACTGTCGCAAGGAAGGTGGCCTGAATGGCTCGCTTTCGACCGGATGCTGGTGTCTCATGACAGTTAGAGCTTGAGGAAAAGCGAGAGAGAGAGATAGAGACAGAGCGGGTGAGGGGAAATCACTTACTTGTTATTACTTCTTGTCTGCCTGTAAATATTTGTGCATGAATCTCACACATCCTTTTGACAGGATCTAGCTCTATATATCTAGTCTATCTATGTCATTTCTATTTCTATCTAGTTGTTGAATCCAAGGATATCTAAGGCTAACATCTTTTGCAGACTCAGGCCCGGTCCCCAGCGCTACAAGCGCTCTCCAGGCCCAAGAAGTGACTGGCATCGGGAACGGTCGATCCGCTCATGTGTTTCGACTGGGTCCCAGAGGCCATATCTAGAAACCAAGCCATGTAACGTATCTAGTAATTTCTAGTATGTGATCATATAATATTGTGATCATTATGTCTCCTGATATCTCCTGATATATCCCAAATAACACATACATCATCATACATCATATTATATATAGATATCCAATATGTTCATTGGATGCCAAGAATTCTGTCTATACACTCAAATATACTCAGCATCCTTTGATCCGAAATGATTCGAACATGTCAGCATCTCCAGGTCCAGTCACTTCCAGCCTGAAAGGGCCTTCTCCAGGGAAGCGGAACGAGTAGTACAGGCCTGGCCGACAGTTTGTGACTCTTTGACAGACCGGAGCAGAGTCAGTTTAAGACTTGATTGATCCAGTTGCAAAATCTGTGTATATCTACAATTGCTAGTCATTATGTATATTATGTAAGAATAGATAAAGAATAGATATGTGTTGTAATTGATCCTGAAACTCTTTTCGGGTCATCCCAGAGACATCCCAGAATATAAAAGTCGAGCGGTTCCCTTCACATGCCAAGGGTGCCAAAGGCAGCAAAAGCGATGATCGATCCAGCCACCTGTCAAAAGTTGCACGGACTATGAGACCCAAACATGATTATCATGATTACTTGACAGCAACCCTGACATGCACCAAGATCATGTTGAAGATCTTGAGCCCACTGGCTCTCACTCTTACTGTAGGCAAAGCATACCATGAGGTTGGAGGGTTCAGCCGTGCTGTCGCCCAATCGTAGAGTCGGAGAGCAAAACCAAATCGTGACAAGAATGCCTTGAGTCCTTGAGGTTGGGGGAACATGTCTCAAAATGTTGCAAGTTACAATTGAAATCCTAGCAAAAGAGAAATCCAAAAAAAAGTAGTTCCAACATGTTCCAACTGCATCCAACTGCACCTGTGCCAGGATCCGCAGGAGGAGCTGCACCTCCACTTGCGATCAAATAGACAGGGGCCAAAGAAACTGCCACGTTGAAATATGTTGAAGGATGCTAACAAAAACATACAAAAACATGTTGAAATGTTGAAGTCATGAAGTCTTTGAGTCAAACTCTCAAATCCTGAGGTGCCCTCTGCGTGCCTTATTCATCTGATTTCGGCCGCCGGCCCACAAGCCCGCTGACAGTAGCGGATTGGTTTGCACACCGCAACCAACCTGTGGAGATTGCATGGAGGTAGCAGTCCAGGTAGCACAATGAATCTCATGCTGGCAAGATGATGTATGAATGGCCGCGTTTGCAAGGGCAAACAAGGAGCTGCTTTCAGAGCCATCGAAATCTTGAAACATATTTCTTTTGCTATAGTCATCTATAGTCAATGGCTCTTGCTCGTGGGATCAAACATGATCATCAAACATGATCAAACAATGACTTAAAGATACACAAAGAATCAGTCTTCCGATTTCTGATGCCACTGGCAAGTCACTGGACAACATTGGACAACGAAAGCTTTTAGTCTGTGATCAGCCCTTGAGGCCCACCATCAGCACTGGCGCCCCTGCAGCGCTTCAGACAAGTCGCCCATGCAGCTAGTGACGCCAGGTGCCTCGATCTGTTCAAACATGTTGGAACCATGAAATCAGATGAAATCACTCAGGTTTTCTGGTGACACTGATCTAGGGGGTTCCAGTGCTACCGGTGATGCCATGGGGTGCCCCTAAAGTGGCATAGTATGAGATATAGATTTGGAATCAATGGCTTTGAATTTCTTGCATCTCCAAAAATTGATGATGAAAAACACCATTTTTAAGTGGATGATGTATGATGATGTGGGGCTTGTTTAAAGTTGTTTATGATCATTTATGGAAACCCTCGCTGAAGTACGTTGCTTATCTCCAAGGCTTGGGTCTCCAGGCAATGCGATGCCTGGTCCCTTTGCATCGGGCCACAAGCCATGCCTTGGTGCCGGCGTGGAGTCTTTGTTCAAAGCTGCTGATTGGTGACATTGGGGGAATAAGAATCATCATGAATCATCTAAAATTATCGAAATATATCTATAATAATTTCTATAATAATATCCAATAATGATGTAAAGCATTCTAAAACATTCTAAAACACTGGACTTGCTGAGGCTTCCGATGATCTCCTCCCAGGTGGCCCAAGTGTATGATTCATTATGATTCTAAGCGTGGTTCGTATATTCAAGGAATGACCACTGGGGGAACTCTGCTCATATCTGCAAAGGTCTAGCGTCTAGCACCGAGGCCCAAACAATGCCAAGCATCCAGTCCCCAGCACCGCGGCTCCAACCACGTCCTGCGGCAAGTGCAAAACAGCCCCCGATCCGAACACAAACAACATAGATTCTGCATCAACCGAACCGAACATCCAAGAAACCTCTGCTCCATATCGAAGAATTGCTTTCTGTTGGATGCTCTGATTGACAGCTCACCGCAAGATGTCAGGCAGGGCCGCCACCCAGCAGCCTGACAGCTAATCTTGGAGATTAGTTGAACCAGCCGGCAAGGAAAAGGAATAGCCAGGCTGGTCTTCGATATCCCCGGAAGAAAATGGAAAGTTATTGGAAAGTTTCAATAAGGACACGATCAAGCCACGTCAAGCATATCTTCTAGCCTTTCACTCGATGGATCAGATCAATTGAAGCGAAGTGCAAAGGGATTGCGAGTAGCATCAAGGAGCACCATGCACGTGGACACGAATGTTGTTGCATTGTTGCAGTGTGTTGCCACAAGTTGCTTTCTGTTGGATGCTCTGATTGACAGCTCTCCGCAAGATGTCAGGCAGGGCCGCCACCCAGCATCGGATAAAATCTATATGGGAGGTGCTTCGAACCAATTAACCAATGGATGCTGGTCTATCGGCCTCGACACATCCACATCAATCCAGGTATGCTCAACCAGCAGTTGAATCGATTGGTGTCAGAAAACTATGACAAAAATGCCTTAACAGCAAGTTCCTCTTTCGCATCCTGTTTCCGACTGTATGATGAGTATGATGGGCTTCCTCAATCACGAGTTTGCCATACTAAAACCTTTTCGCAGACCCTTTTGCGAGTAGGATTCACTTTGGGGGTCGCGAAAGTCTTGACAGACTTTCGCGCAAATGCACTTTGCTTGCGCAAGGCAACAAAAATCATATGCCATTACAAAATCTTAGAAGGTTTGTACCGCTGCTCAATCATGTTGCTTCTCACATGCCGGAAAGGGCAAGCTCTTACAAGTAATTCCAGGCCAAGCAAGTCTGATCCTGATTGATCTTGTTGTCTGTACGTGTTGGATGCTTTGATTGACAGCTCACCGCAAGATGTCAGGCGGGCCGCCACCCAGCAGCCTGACAGCTAATCTTGGAGATTTGTTTACCAGCCGGCAAGGAAAAGGAATAGCCAGGCTGGTCTTCGATATCCCTGCAAGAAAATGGAAAGTTATTGGAAAGTTTCAATAAGGACACGATCAAGCCACGTCAAGCATATCTTCTAGCCTTTCACTCGATGGATCAGATCAATTGAAGCGAAGTGCAAAGGGATTGCGAGTAGCATCAAGGAGCACCATGCACGTGGACACGAATGTTGTTGCATTGTTGCATTGTTGCAGTGTGTTGCCACAAGTTGCTTTCTGTTGGATGCTTTGATTGACAGCTCACCGCAAGATGTCAGGCAGGGCCGCCACCCAGCAGCCTGACAGCTAATCTTGGAGATTTGTTGAACCAGCCGGCAAGGAAAAGGAATAGCCACGCTGGTCTTCGATATCCCCGGAAGAAAATGGAAAGTTATTGGAAAGTTTCAATAAGGACGCTCACTCGATGGATCAGGTCAATTAAAGCGAAGTGCAAAGGGATTGCGAGTAGCATCAAGGAGCACCATGCACGTGGACACGAATGTTGTTGCATTGTTGCATTGTTGCAGTGTGTTGCCACAAGTTGCTTTCTGTTGGATGCTATGATTGACAGCTCACCGCAAGATGTCAGGCAGGGCCGCCACCCAGCAGCCTGACAGCTAATCTTGGAGATTTGTTGAACCAGCCGGCAAGGAAAAGGAATAGCCAGGCTGGTCTTCGATATCCCCGGAAGAAAATGGAAAGTTATTGGAAAGTTTCAATAAGGACACGATCAAGCCACGTCAAGCATATCTTCTAGCCTTTCACTCGATGGATCCGATCAATTGAAGCGAAGTGCAAAGGGATTGCGAGTAGCATCAAGGAGCACCATGCACGTGGACACGAATGTTGTTGCATTGTTGCAGTGTGTTGCCACAAGTTGCTTTCTGTTTGATGCTATGATTGACAGCTCTCCGCAAGATGTCAGGCAGGGCCGCCACCCAGCAGCCTGACAGCTAATCTTGGAGATTTGTTGAACCAGCCGGCAAGGAAAAGGAATAGCCAGGCTGGTCTTCGATATCCCCGGAAGAAAATGGAAAGTTATTGGAAAGTTTCAATAAGGACACGATCAAGCCACGTCAAGCATATCTTCTAGCCTTTCACTCGATGGATCCGATCAATTGAAGCGAAGTGCAAAGGGATTGCGAGTAGCATCAAGGAGCACCATGCACGTGGACACGAATGTTGTTGCATTGTTGCAGTGTGTTGCCACAAGTTGCTTTCTGTTTGATGCTATGATTGACAGCTCTCCGCAAGATGTCAGGCAGGGCCGCCACCCAGCAGCCTGACAGCTAATCTTGGAGATTTGTTGAACCAGCCGGCAAGGAAAAGGAATAGCCACGCTGGTCTTCGATATCCCCGGAAGAAAATGGAAAGTTATTGGAAAGTTTCAATAAGGACACGATCAAGCCACGTCAAGCATATCTTCTAGCCTTTCACTCGATGGATCCGATCAATTGAAGCGAAGTGCAAAGGGATTGCGAGTAGCATCAAGGAGCACCATGCACGTGGACACGAATGTTGTTGCATTGTTGCAGTGTGTTGCCACAAGTTGCTTTCTGTTGGATGCTATGATTGACAGCTCACCGCAAGATGTTAGGCAGGGCCGCCACCCAGCATCGCATAAAATCTATATCGGAGGTGCTTCGAACCAATTAACCAATGGATGCTGGTCTATCGGCCTCGACACATCCACATCAATCCAGGTATGCTCAACCAAAAAGAGAAGCCTATCTTGAAAAGTGTTTCAAACTAATCAAACTAGACGCCTGCACTTTAAACAGCTGCAAGATATGGCCAGTGGTTTTGCAGGGCCTTCACTCGTTGGTCCTTGAAGAGTGATCTCCTCAGCACAATGTAGTTCTTGTAGATTCGAAAATGGGCAAAGAAGAAGTCTGCATTGGCCACCTCAGAGATTGCTCTTAAGCACAAGTATGTCTTGGAGCATGGGACATTTTGGCCTTGTACCTCTTTCAAATCTTTCAAGGGAGAAACATTCAACAACAGATAAGATATATAAGTTTAAAAACCTGGTGAAAGGGATTCTCCAAACATCGAAACAGCATCGTGAAAATCCAAGCCGGCCTCCTGCAGAAAAAAAAACAACTAGACTTGGCTGCACAGCCTTGGTTTCATATTCTGAGACCATGACCATCATAATCGTGCCCAGAATAATGGCAATCAGAACGTCCTGAATCTCCAGATTGGGAATGCCCAAAGTCCAACAAGTCCATCATTCATATATGTAATCTATAATCATAATATATATATAATAACATAATATGACATACTGTCAGAAGTTTAGAATATGTTGTGCAACCTTTGGCGCATACTAGTACCAAGGAAAGATAAAGATTCGAGAAAACAAGACTCAACGATACCCTACCCAACACGAGGGATCAAAGAGGACTGAAAGACAGTGTTTTTTCTTGGCGACTTCCTACCGTAGATGGACGATGAAATCAAACCCCTGCTGTATTGTTGTCGCCCCCGCATCCCCAAATTTCAATGTTGCCGTTGGGCTGCACGCTTGGGGCCGGTGGACAAAAAAGTCAAACCCTAACGCAGAGGAAGCTATATAGAGCTTTGTGCAACGTTGAAATTTGGGGCCTGGGGGGTTTACTTGGTAGGCATCTGTAGGGTTTGATTTTTTTGTCCATTTACTGTAGGAGGAATTGAACCCGTTGGACATTGGCTCTCATGGCAGCTGGAAACACGATACAAATCGATACAGTACTGCTAGCAGTCCTGAAATGCCTTCAGCTTGGCAAGAAACATGATCCTCAGCCGAAGTTTGAAACAAATCCGGCACGTCGGGGTCGAAGGGAGTTTGGTTCTTGTATGTGTGTGTTACTTCTTGCAATAATATTCTGCGAGAGTATAGACGATCTGAATCTTCCAATCTCACTTTTTGCCAAGCGCAGACCAGACAGGCTGAGCGCAGAATCCAGCGTAATCATGCAAAAATCCTGTGCCAGGGGAGTGAAACTGATCTCTACCTTGCAGTGCCATGTCAAAAAAAACGTTAGTGTAGGAGACAAACATGAAATTTGAAACAACTTAAAGAAGTCAAGGGGGAGACAAAAGTAATCCCAATACTCACTGGTCATGATATACATAATTGACAACCCGCAGCCCAGCACATTGACATAGAATGGACATTGAGTTCAAGGTCTGAAGTAGTTGGAAAGGGAGGTTTGGCTGGAACATGCATAAAGATCATAAAGTCAAATACGAATGAGCGGGTGGTGCAGACATTTCACTCCAGTAAAAATACGACAAATCAGCTGTCTCCCCGGTGTCGCTTCAATAGCGATGTATAGTAATGTCTATAGTGATATCTAATATCATCTATAATATCTAGTCTATAGTGATGTCTAATGCACATCTGTCTTTTGCATTCTTTTGCGTCAAGTTTCGTCAGGCAGAGCTTTCTATATCTTTCTCCGAGTGGCAGGATTACGGTGGCCCAAACAAGGATGGTGAAGAACTCCATCCAATCTCGCCCAATCTGCCAGGAGATCCGGAGTTTGCTGGTCACACTAGTCACTATATGTCACTATTAGTCATAGATGCGGTGAAAAAATCTGTGGTATGATACAAACATATACGAACATATACGAACATGTTGAACCATGTTGAACCCACCTGTTTCTTGCTGATGGGCAACATGGTGCTTCGCCTAGGTCTCATGTTTGAATTAGTGCCACAGCAAATCTCCATTCACAACAGTAATTACTGACCGTGACCGGCTCATCCTGTTTCATCCTGTTTCATCCTGTTTCATCCTGTTTCATCCTGTTTCATCCTGTTTAATTTTATCATGCCATTGTTCAATCCAGTCTTCACTGGCATCGTGCAGAGCTCTCAAAACACGCAGCACGAAGATGCAGTCCAAGCTCAGACTGCGACGCGGCCACACGCCGCTGCAAAGCCAGCGATTGAACCAAAATTGACAGCTGAAGTCAAAAATTGCAGAAGGATGTAGAAGGAGATAGAAGATTAGGCTTGTTGTGGAGGTAAAATGAGGTAAAGACTGCCTCTGATCTTGGAAGTGTCAGCATCAAAGTCCAGCATGGCACGCAATAGCACTTTCAATGGCTGTATGGCCCATGGGATCCGAAGTAGCGCAGCACAGATTTTTTGGCTTCACATCTTCAGGCTGGACCGGCTGGTGACCTGTAGTCCATTTTCACCTGCTACCTGACCCCTTTGTGCTGCCGCAGCAATCTTCAGCTTCCAAAGCAACTCCAAAAGTCCAACAATTTGCAAAACGATCCAAGAATTTGCCATTGAACCTCAGTGGAAACTTGTTGAACCCGTTGTTTTTCATTGCAGCTCCGTTTTCTGGTTTGGATCACGCAAGCATTGGCGCCTGGATGACATGCTTCGGCAGCCACGGGCGTGTGAATTCGCGATATGTTCAAAAGATGTTTCATATTATGTTGCATGTTTTCATTGGTCATTTGTTTTCGTCATGGTCCAAGAACGTCAATGATTTGTTGCATTTTGTTGCACTTTTGGGACTGATGCATCTTTGTTTTGGTTCAGGAATTCCCTTGCTCATTGCCACCGGATGCTCAGATGGCAAGGCCTTAGCAGGGAAAAATCACCATGGTGTCCTCCAAGAATTAAGAAAAATAGTTGATGTGACACCGCATCAGACGGGGCAATACAAGCTGATCATGACAACATGATAATGATTTAATAAAAGTAAATAGAGGTAACAACCGGCTCAACTCACCTATATGTGAGGGGCCAAGGAAAGAACGCAAGGTCACAGGAGAAAGTGCCATGATTACTATACTACTATATATTATGAGGAGAAGGAGGAGGATGATGATGAGGAGGAACAAGACAACACAAGGAATCGCTGCTAATGGCTTCATCTCAGGCAGGGACCACTGGGGCAGTTAACCCCCCAACTCCGTGACAGCCTTCTGCGCAAAGAATTTCACATCCGGATCCTGCCGCTTCTGCTAACCATCTACTGTCTGCAGCCCTTAATTAATTGCCGGTATCTACACAAAAATGGGCTACAAGAATCTTCAACAATTGTAGTTCCTCTGGTGATTCAAAGCGCAGCAACTGAATTCACATGAGATGTCTCATGCTATTGATAAAGAAGCAAAATGGCGGTCTTCCGTCACTGCTTTTGACTTGTTTGCCTGAACAAACATCGATCTTTGAGGTTACTGGATCACGAGCCATCTCTCATCACGCCTCATAAGTCTCAAATAGACTTTGCTTTCTGGTCTACTGTGTCTAGATTGAGGTTCTGTAGTACTTTAATGTATTTTCACATACACTCATAAGTTAATGCCATGAAAGATCTTCCCTGCAGTCCTACAAGTACAGTAGATGTTTGTATCGATAGATTTTCCATTCATCTCATCTTATTATTGATTCCCCAACTTGAGGGAAATATTGGCCCAAGAAATCTGCCCTGCCAGGAGGCTGTGATCAGAAGATAAGTTCCAGGTAAAGGGATAGATAATTGATAGATAGACACAAATCAAACATTATCCATATCAAAACCAAGCTTTTTTAAAAAAAACTTGAAAATACATGAAGGGATTATCAATGACATAGGTGACCATTGATAACCTATAGACGAAAACGGAAAGACAATGATCTCTTTCTGACGCGAAGATATTTGGTGCATCTTCACCTTGTGAGCACTGCCGGATTCCAAGCTTTCAGCTCCTGGTCTTGAAGTAGACGATACAAGCAAGGTACCAGCTGCCCATCAAAGCTCTTCGGAGTGCTCTTGCCGCAAACCTGATGCATTGCCTCAAGAGAGATGACTCGAGAGCGACACATTTCGAAAAACGACGGTTTGAGACATTCTGATGACCTATTTAGGTCATCCATATTTCCAATGAAGATGCCGCCCAGAGCATTCGTTGTCACTTTGCGGTGCCCGACACTTCTAATTAATGGTGAGGGATGCTCTGAGTCTCAAGCGAGGATTGTCTTGGCTGCATTGAATCGTACATTTGGTACAGGGTCATTGGTGAGTTTCACCACCTTCAGGCGCAAGTGAAAAATAGTGAAAACTCTACAGAAAAGATGAGAAAAGTGTCAGAGACCAAGGCAACCAATTTCTCGATCTAGAAGTTTACAAAAATTGAACCACCGCAATTTGTTTGTGAGTGTTTGTGTCTGCGCTGATGTACATTCCATACTCACTGTAAGGTCTTGGCCATGGGCACCAAGTGTTTGTCGATGAAGTCGCTACCAGACACCTGCAATGCAAGCATCAAATGATTCAAAAATATCCCATACCAGTAGCCGGCTCTAGACAGTCTTGCATCAATTTCGATCGTCTTGTGCATGACAACTGCTTAGATCTGCTGCGGCTCGTTTGGCGTTTCTCATCGTTTCTCTATGTGGTTCTCTTTTTCTCTGTCAGTTTGTGTCATTTCTTCCACTCTTTGTGTGCCTCTGCCAACGCACGAGTCGACAAGATTGCCGAGATGCGGTAGAGATAATTCTTGTGTTCCACCAGGTTCTGGACGCTTTCAGAGATCACCAGAACACGATGGAGAGATCAAAACTGTGGGGATTAAACTTGAGCTTGGAAGATCTTGGAAGATCTGAGCCCAAAGTGGGCTGATCATACTGGGTCTTGATGCTGCTTTTGTGCGAGAATCCTGAAAACATATTAATTAAAAAAGATTAAAAAAAAACAGGGAAAATGCACAGTATGATCTGTGAGTTCGATTTCTTGTCATATTAAAAGTAGTTGCACTTCCAACAAGAATCCGACGACCCTTGCAGATCTCACAGACGACTCCTGGAGTTGTGGGATGATATTCCGCTCACTCCAGGGCTGTCCTGGGCTGGAATTGTGAATGGTCCCTATGAAATCTATGAACTCGCTAAATGTTTCGAAAAACAAAATGACAAAAATGACCCAAGACCCTTGGACTATCTTGGACTAACATTCAGCACTTAGATCTTTTGAGGTTACCAAAACATCTACCGAATCTACCTGGTAGTTTACCCATGTCTACCTGAGACACCCAGAGACAGCCTGAGACCCTACGTTTTGCTGGATCACCGGACCCAGCTCTTCGCTGAGCCGATTGAAGCTTGCCGCGAAGGCATCCCTGGCAGCGAACTGAGTTGAACTGGTTGAACTGGCAGGTGATTGTGGTATCTGATGGTATCTGGCTATAAAATATGCTATAATCAGAACATATCAGAACTGCAGATTTTTTCCCCAGAACATCCCAGAGCCTACATGAGCCTACCCCAGAAATCGTCTATATCTTTTTAAAGACTCACCAAGTAAATCGACCATCTCTCCGGCCCCAGACAAGTTCAATCAGGTTTCTGCATACTTTTTTTCTTCGATAGCAACGCAAATGCATGGATCCAAACGTCTCATGTCGGCACACACTTTCAAGACTTACAAATGTGTTCTTTCTCCATGGATCCATGTGCTTCCAAGGATTCAGGAATCATTAGTTTGGATCCAGCATAGCTGATGAAGAGATTCTACTGGACCTTGCGCAGCGGACAGGCAAAGGTCCAATTAATTATAGTCGGCAATAAAGATTAAAAAAGGTGTCTTTTGGAAACATGTTGATGACTATCTCAATTTTTTGTCGTTCCAATTTAGAATTATAGTATATGTAACTACAACCTTCAAACACCAATTGATGTTACTGGCAACGTCTCATCGCAGGATCTTGCCAAATAGAATCAAATATTAACTGCCGTATACTGCCGTATTTGTTGTTTGTTTCGGTTTTCGCTTGATGGCTGAGGTTTGAAGCATACATGATTCCTGATCGTGTGACTTTCCTCGGATCTGCAGGATAGCATCATTGTTGGAGCTGATCCCAGATTTTGGCCTTTCCAAGCTGACTGCACATCACGGATCGCTTGCTCAAAAAAGCGGGGGCAAACATGGGATCAAGATCAGTTATTTGAATTTCAAACCGAGCGGTCGATCATTCGTTCATGTCAGTGCAAAGAATGCAATCAGCGGGCATGACTAAGCTCCTTTACACCAACTGCAGTAACTGCAGTATACTGCAGTCACAAAGGACAATTCCAGGCTTTGTTTGACGTGAAGGTGCCCGATTTCGGATGTTCTCACCCTGTAAATGAACACATTGTTTGCACTTCATCACAGCCTGTATCTTCATGTCAATGGCTGGGGACAGCCACGCATCCGCCCAGCCTTTGCGACGTTGCCCTGCCAAGAGTTCTCCGGCCAGAGTACAGGCAACTGCGTCAGGTTGCCGCAGTACACGAGGCTGGGTCAGGTTGAATTTCATGGTTCCAATAATGATCAATAATGTGATGTGGTGATGCGTCATCATGATTTGAGATATGACTTGTTTCTACGTGCTTCTGGCATCACATTCAGGCATCAAATCATGTCAAAGTTGTTCCAGGCATTACAAAACACATGAGCCGTGGTCCAAAGGTCTTGTCTTTCTGAAGGCGCTGAGGGAATGATTACGCCGCAGCTTACGCGCTGCTTACGCACCCACAGTTTGAGTTTACGCGCAGAATAGCTTGCCCTGATGCTTACGCGGTATTGCCTCTCGCATCTCTCTTACTAAAAACAGTTTTGAGCGTGGCTCACATTGACATCATCGACAAAGTCACTATACTTATATAACGAATACAAATGAATGATACACATGTGATCAAATGTGCACAGACTGCAACAAATCCACGCATTTGTTCTGCGTCTAACGAAACCTCCTTCTCTCGTTTCGGTCTGGGCAGGCTCTCAACCTGCCACAGAGTAGCTGGATCTTCTCAGCACAATGCGCGGAATGTGGTTTGAACATGTTCGCATCGACATCCATAGTATGGTTACAAAGGGGACAAACCCGGAACTTGCAGCTGCAAACTCGGCGATGTATATATTGTATTTCTTCTTGACAACAGAGATCTTAGTTCCACTTTAGATGGTG